GGCGCTGGGCCGGACGCTGGAGATCAAACAGCTGGATGTGTGTGATGAGGGCTCCATCCGCGCCTGCCTCGACAGCATCCCCGGGCGGCACATCGACATCCTGGGTGAGCCCCGGGATCCCCCTCCCACCCCGGTGCGGAGACCATCCGTGATGGGGACCCTGCACTGGCGGCTGTCCAGCCAAGCTTGTCCCGTGCTGGGATCATTTGTGCTCCCAGCGCTGGGACTCTCCCAGCCAGGGACACCTCATGACCCTGAGCCCGTGTACCGGGGACGGTCCATGCCAGGGACCCCCTGCACCAGGGACCCTCTGTGCTGGGACAGTCCCATACCAGGGACCCTTCAAACTCAGGACATCCCATTGTGGGGACCCTCTGAGCACTGTCTCCCCCCATGCCAGGGGCTCTTCACTCACAAGGAACCCCCTGACCCCACACACCTGTGACCCTCTATGCCAGGGACACCCTGCACCAGGGACCCTCCACACCCAGGACATCCCATGCTGGGGACACCCCGAGAACCAGGGACACCCCATGCCCAGGGTGTGGGATCCCCCAGCCCAGGGCACACCCCACTGATGTTCCCCTGCCCACAGTCAGCAATGCCGGGGTGGGCATGGCGGGACCCCTGGAGTGCCAGAGCCTGGCAGCCATGCAAAGCCTCATGGACACCAACTTCTTCGGCCTCGTCCGCCTGGTCAAGGAGGTGCTGCCCGACATGAAGAGACGCCGCGGCGGCCACATCGTCGTCATCAGCAGCATCATGGGCCTGCAGGGTAGGGGAAAATGGGGTGCCCTGGGGGGACCAGCCCCCACTCAGCCCTGACTGGGACTCCCAACCATCCAGGCATCGTCTTCAATGACATCTATTCGGCCTCCAAGTTCGCGGTGGAGGGGTTCTGCGAGAGCCTGGTGGTGCAGGCGCTGCGCTTCAACGTGGCGTGAGTGCGGGGACAGGCGGCCGCACAGCCCCTGGGGCCGGGGGGGTCTGGGGGTGCCCAGTGCCCAGTGCCCCATCCCTGGGCAGGATCAGCCTGGTGGAGCCGGGGCCGGTGATGACGGAATTCGAGACCAAGTTGTACGAGGAAGCCGAACGCGCCGACTACTCACGGACCGACCCCGAGACAGCCAAAATTTTCACCGAGCTCTACCTGAGGAACTCCAGGGATGTGTTCACCAGCCTGGGCCAGACCCCTGAGGACATTGCAGAGGTGACAAGCGGGCAGGGGGCCCCAGTGGGCTGGGGGGGCCTGGGCTGGACAATTAGCCAGTTAGACTTAACAAGGATGCCCAGCCAGCAGTGGGGCAGCTCGCACCCAGACAGCTCCATCCTAATGGGGCTGAGCATGGCTGGGAATGGGAATAGGAATAGGAATGGTGATGGGATGAGAATGTGGATGGGAATAAGATGGGAAGGAACTGAAGATGGAGATGGGAGGGAAATGGAATGGGAATGAGAAGGGATGGAGATAGGGGTAGGATGGGATGGGGCCGGGGTGGGATAGGCTAAAGAGGGATAGAATGGGAAGGAGTTTGGGATGGGATAGGAATGGTGATGGGGTGAGGCGGGATGGATTAGAGATGGGAACAGGATGGGAAGGGCTTGGGATGGGGACAGGAAGTGAATGAGGAGTTGGGATGGGAATGGGGATAGGAGGGGAATGGGAAGGGAGGAGATGGGAATGTCATTGAGGATGGAGGTGCAGATGGGGATGGGATGCAGACAGGGTTGAAAAGGGGTAGGGGTGGGATGGGAATGGTGGAGGGCTGGGGCTGGGCTATGGGGACAGGAAGGGGACAGTCCCATGCCCACGTGCAGCACACCCTGCGGGTGATCGAGGCGGCGCGGCCGCCGTTCCGGCACCAGACCAACGTGGCGTACACACCGATGGCCGCGCTCAAACACGCCGACCCCAGCGGCGCCCTCATCACCGACGCCTTCTACA